TGGTACGATCACTCAGAATTAACGATACTCAACCCTCATCTGATTCGATCAACAAGGCCACGGCCCATCCGTCATCATGAAGGCAAAACCTCAACGTGGTCACGGCCACTTACTGTATGGGTCAGAATCCGACCCCACGATAATTAACGAAGCTAATCCCGTCTTAAGTTAATTCATGATTAATTAGTGGTACGACCACTCAGAATTAACGATACTCAACCCTCATCTGATTCGATCAACAAGGCCACGGCCCATCCGTCATCATGAAGGCAAAACCCCAACGTGGTCACGGCCACTTATTGCCAGCTCACGAAGCTCACAGCTATAAATACCAAGAGAGGGAACCATATTAAAGGGGGCTCCTTCTTGGTCACGATCCAGAAAGAAGAGAAAAAACACAATGATACCCATATTATGAGAGAGTAGAACACCATTGTAAGGCTCTGAACCTCTCCATGGAGAGGCAGGCCAAATCCACATTATCAATAAAGGATTTTAATGTTTCTCCTCCTAACTCTGAGTACTTATTTTCGTTTCCTTCATTTGGTCCAATGGATTATTACGTTTTGCTATGATTTTTTCGTGATTTAATTATGTTATTTTATACTCATAAGGTATGTGATAACTTTTGAGCAAACAATTTGGCGCCGTCTGTGGGGATTTCCTAGCAAAATCGTGTAGTTCTTCCCTGGACCAAAAAGGAAGAAACGCCAGAAAAGAAAAAACAAAAGCAACCCAGCTCAAATAAACCAAGCGGCATGTCGGACAAGGGGAACTCGAAGATCTCAAATCAAGATCCAAGTCCTCTCTCTCTGATCTCGGATAGTGCAAAGAAGAAGCCCCTCCTAAGGGAAGATCTCTGTAAGGCATCTCCCGCATCCCTGATACGAGCTCCGGCCAGAAACCGGCATGGAGATATCTCGAGCCGAAAGTCGCCTCAAGACAGCCTATATACCCTGGTTGGGAAGACAACGGGTAAGCCGCTCAAGGTCTCTAATCAAAACCGAGCTTCAGCACTCAATACCCACAATATTGGACTCAGGCCATGAGCCTTCGCCATCAAAATCAACTAAGTTCAACAACAGTTGAACTGGGACTCAGGCCATGAGCCTTCGCCATCAAAATCAACTAAGTTCAACAACAGTTGAACTGGGACTCAGGCCATGAGCCTTCGCCATCAAAATTGACAAAGTTCAACAACAGTTGAACTGGGACTCAGGCCATGCGCCTTTGCCAGTAAGTTTAACTACGGTTGAACCAAGACTAAGGCTATGCACCTTCGCCAGTAAGTTCAACTACGGTTGAACCAAGACTCGGGCTATGCGCCTTCGCCAGTAAGTTCAACTGCGGTTGAACCAAGACTCAGGCTATGCGCCTTCACCATCAAAATTGACAGAGTTCAACAACAGTTGAACCGGGACTCAGGCCATGAGCCTTCGCCATCAAGATCGACAAAGTTCAACAACAGTTGAACTGGGACTCAGGCTATGCGCCTTCGCCATTAAATCAAGGCTATGCGCCTTCGCCATTAAATCAAGGCTATGCGCCTTCGCCAAGAAATTCAAATACAGTTGAACCATGACTCAGGCCGTGAGCCTTCGCCATCAAAATCGATTAAGTTCAACAACAGTTGAACTGGGACTCAGGCCATGCGCCTTCGCCATAAAATCAGGCTATGCGCCATCGCCATTAAATCAAGGTCATGCGCCTTTGCCAGTAAGTTCGATTATGGTTGAACCAAGACTCAGGCTATGCGCCTTCGTCATTAAATCAAGGCTATGAGCCTTCGCCAAGAAGTTCAACTACGGTTGAACCAAGACTCAGGCTATGTGCCTTCGTCATTAAATCAAGGCTATGCGCCTTCGCCAAGAAGTTCAACTACGGTTGAACCAAGACTCAAGCTAAGCGCCTTCGTCATTAAATCAAGGCTATGCGCCTTCGCCAAGAAGTTCAACTACGGTTGAACCAAGACTCAGGCTAAGAGCCTTCGTCATTAAATCAAGGCTATGTGCCTTCGCCAAGAAGTTCAACTACGGTTGAACCAAGACTCAGGCTATGCGCCTTCGCCATTAAATCACTCAGGCTATGCGCCTTCGCCAAGAAGTTCAAATACAGTTGAACCAAGACTCAGGCTAAGTTCAACAACAGTTGATCCTCGCCATCAAATGACAAAGTTCAACAACAGTTGAACTGGGACTCAGGCTATGCGCCTTCGCCATCAAAATTGACAAAGTTCAACAACAGTTGAACTGGGACTCGACCTCGCTTGAACCATAAGGCTAGACGCCTTCGTCCTCAAATCTAACAAGTTCAACCACAGTTGAACCAGGACTCGAACTAAAATTAGGAACACGTAAAGTCCGGCCCCGGTCAAACTACAAGGCCGCATTTTTTATCATCACGGTCGGTCGAAGAAGAAAAGTCGTCAACAATCAAAAACTAACCTGCCTACCAAAGTCAAACTCAAAAAACCACAGTCGGTACGGGCCTCACGAGCCTTTTGACGCGCTCCCTCGAAAGCAGCTCGCGACTTCACCCTCCAACGCAATGCTCTCCACCTCCAACAAATAAGACTGCAAAGCAAAGACAACGATTAAGATAAAGAACAAACTAAGACGAAGAGGCCTACGGCCATGCCCACAAAGGGAATTCGACGATTAAGAAACTTACATGCATGATTCCAAGCCTCTGGGAACCCAGTAGAGCATGCCACTAAATGTTCAGTCCTGATGTAGAAGAAGTGCTCGAAAGGGCGAGGGTCGACCTTATCATCCAGTTTCACAGTCAGGCCCCTCGTCCCGCGAGGGCACGCTCGAATCATGGTACCACGAACTCTCTAGGGAGCGTAGAGGCTAAGAACATGCTGCAGCGTGACCTCCCTACCGGCCAGTTCTGCATATTTGATAAGCATTGCTAATAATTTGTAAAGAGAAGGAGCAAGCTGACCCGGGCATACCCCGTAATAATGACAGAAATCAACCACTAGCATTGGGAGCGGGAGCTTAAACCCCAACTTGAAGGGATAGACGTAAAAGACGCAGTATCCCCTGCGGTCGGTGTGGACCCTCTCCTCGCTTCTAGCGAGAACGACGTCAGCATAGCTGGGGATGACCCCCTGTCCCCGTAGTTGGACATCCCAATCTCCCCCATAAACGGTGCTTCATCTACCTGATCCCCCCCACCATCGGTGGTGAAATCGGTCATCGGACCTCCGGACAGTATCTCGTCAACCGATGGGGCTTCATCGGTCTCCACCAGTTCTGCACCGCCCATTGCCGGAGATGGCCCTTCGGTCACCGGAGAGTTAACCGGAAGATCCATCGGAAGAACGTTTTGGGGAGAACTGCCTGCCATTGTTGATTCAATAACGAGAAAGAAACAAAGTTTGAGGGACAAAGACGGAAGTTATATCAATCGAAGAACAAAGATGAAGGTGAATTAGCAGGAAGAAAAGCTTCTTCAGAATCTCTCTCAGACAAACAGTGATTATAAAAAAATGAATGGGTCAGCCCTTATTTATAAGCAACACAAGTGGCTTTCACAAGCCCCAATAGCCTTCATTAACTACATGACCAACTGCAAACTGATTCGGTTCTGCAGAAACGCGTGTCGTTATGACAGGCTCCGTGAAGAGGCTTTTCCGTCACCAACCGGCGTCTCACCTGCGAAATGGTCGCAACGACACATGAACGCCGAGAGGATGTTCCGTGCGCCTTCAGAATGACGAACGTCGCCAAACACGTATCCAGCGTACCCCTACTCCCTTCGGCTGCACAACATATGACCCGTTCACCATGGTCGACGGTTATGCTCCCAAACAAACGTAAGGATCAGAGCACAACAAAGCTCGACCTCACTCGAATTAAGTTAAAGGGTTAAGCACCCTCGCCATGGAGGAGAGTTCGACCTCGATCGAACGACGACTTGATAGCGCAATAACAAAACACTAACACTCTACAAGGCTAAGGGCCATCGCCAAAGGGAATTCGGCCTCGACCGAAGCGACGGTCGACCTCCCTATCCGAGTTTTTCAAACTACAGTCGATGAAATCCGCTCATTGAGCTCGACCATGGCACGACCTCAATAAGCGGAGGGACTAACTGTATGGGTCAGAATCCGACCCCACGATAATTAACGAAGCTAATCCCGTCTTAAGCTAATTCATGATTAATTAGTGGTACGACCACTCAGAATTAACGATACTCAACCCTCATCTGATTCGATCAACAAGGCCACGGCCCATCCGTCATCATGAAGGCAAAACCCCAACGTGGTCACGGCCACTTATTGCCAGCTCACGAAGCTCACAGCTATAAATACCAAGAGAGGGAACCATATTAAAGGGGGCTCCTTCTTGGTCACGATCCAGAAAGAAGAGAAAAAACACAATGATACCCATATTATGAGAGAGTAGAACACCATTGTAAGGCTCTGAACCTCTCCATGGAGAGGCAGGCCAAATCCACATTATCAATAAAGGATTTTAATGTTTCTCCTCCTAACTCTGAGTACTTATTTTCGTTTCCTTCATTTGGTCCAATAGATTATTACGTTTTGCTATGATTTTCCCGTGATTTAATTATGTTGTTTTATACTCATAAGGTATGTGATAACTTTTGATCAAACAAACATATTACTCAACTTCGAAGTCTACATACTTACTTAACATAAACAGAGTAGAAGGAGAAAGAAGTTAGTGTAAGAATAGTCTAATTAATCCTACTATTTTTGGAAGTAGTATTAACCAATTACTTCGGTTTTCTTTACATCTATTTATACCCTTCTTTTCTTTAGGGTATTGTGCGGCTCCGATTCCGACAAAAATTTGTAGTCGTTTGTCAGTAAATTATCTCTTCTTTCTGATTATCTTCTGTTCTAAATTTGCTGCTTGATTTGAATTCTTTTAGCCTGAACAGTTCGAATTCTGTATGCTTCTAGACTAGAGATTGTTTGAGGAAATTTGAGTTTGACAGTTCTTTTTTTTGCAAGTATTAGTAGTATGAAACGTTTATGCAAATCGCCTGATAAAGGTGCAGGCGCGCTGCCTGAGGAAATCATATTCGACATATTGCATGGTTTGCCTTCAAAATCTCTAGCAAGGTTTAAATGTGTATCTAAGTGTTGGCGAAAGTACATTCCTCAACCAAATCTAATTGGTTTTTTTTATCAAGCTCGGGACACCAGATTACGTTCGCAAATTCGTTTCTTCTCGTCGTCATTAGATGAATCTCCGTCTTCACGACTAGTGAATAATATTACTAGTTTGGAGGAGTCAGTCAAGTTTCTTGGCAAGAAGAAGAGAGAGTATATTGTCGCATCATCCAATGGTTTTCTTCTTTTCGTTAATAACCCGCGGGTTTATTATGTTTATAATCCTGTCACAAGACAGCGTTTGGCTCTTCCTAAAACTAAAATCCGGATGAAGGACCCAGCTGTTGGTTTTTTTTGTAAGGTAGATGACCCTGGTAAAGATGTCGCCTCCTTTACTATAGTTCGCTATGCATTGCCTTCTGTTTGGGGTATAAATTTCACTAGTATAACAATTGAAAGTTTCTCTTCTGAGACTAATATTTGGACGGCCAACAATATAAATCTTGATGTACCTCTTACATTTTGCCCATCTTGGGATATAAAAACATCATCAGCTGGTGTCATAGATGGAGTATTCTGTTGGTTTGATCAACGACCACAGATCACTGTTTACGATAGTGTCCATAAGTGTCTATGGGCATTGGCATTGCCTGAATCTGAAGAGATTGTGGCCGGTCGAGACAGTTCATGTTTTCTTGGAATATCAGGTGGGGCTTTGTATTTGGTATTGAATGATAGATTTGGGTCACCTATTACTGTATGGTACCTTGAGAGTAATATTCGTAGTCGAGATGCAGTATGGGTTAGGAAGTATGTTGCCAATACCGTTGTAAAATGTCCACAGGCTTTTGGACTAGCTAGCTTACATGTTATTGAGAAGCGAAACATGGTTATTCATCCTACTGTTCCGCACATCTTTTATTTTGTTGTAAGAGGTAAAGTTATTTCTTATGACTTGGAGACGAATATTGCAGAACTTGTGTATGATTTTGGAGAACCTTGCTGGAAAACACGATGCTACACATTGTTTTCTTACGAGTGGCATCACACTACTGGAAAATGAGCCTATTGCAACAGCCATAAAACCGTTGCAACAGAAAGGTAAACCGTTGCCATAGCGTTATTGGAACTGTTTAGAAACCGTTACATACGCTGCCGTGCCAGTAGATCTAGCATAACGGTTCTTGCAACGGTTACCCAAACCGTTGCTTAAGGTATATCTATAGCAACGGTTGTTCCTCTGTTTGAAGCAACGAGTAGTTCTTTCCAGTTGTAACGGTTAAAAATCGTTGCCATATAGTTTATAGCAACGGTTGGCAGCCGTTACCATATAATATGTTGCAACGGTTATGTAAGCTATTGCAACGTTTATTTACAAATATTCTAACGGTTTCATTACGCTATTGTAACGGTTTTATTTCTTTTGCAACGGTTTTAACTACCTATTGTGTCAGTTTGTTGCACATTTTGGAACGATTGATAAGACCTAATGGAACGGTTTTGAAAACCTATTGGAACGGTTCTTCTAGACTATTTTGGAACAATTTGCCATGCCTATTGGAACGGTTTGCAAGACCTATTGGAACGGTTCTATTAGACTATTACGCCCTGGCTGTAAATGAATATTTAGATATATAAAATTTGTAATGACCTGAAATTTATATAAATAAAAAGATAAAACACTTCATAATCTATATTATATCCATAAAACCAAAATATTTTAACCCAATCACATAAGTTTTACACAACATTTCCTCCATAAAACCAAAATATTTTAAGCCAATCACATAAGTTTTACATCAACACTTCAAGAGTTAGTTCAATTGTTGATAACAAAAGATTCCTAGAACATAGACAACAATTCAAAGTTCTTAAGTAAGGTCTAGATCTTCACAATCTCCATCTTCCCTTTCTTCAATTGCTCGACCTACAAAAGAGGATAAATAAAGTCATTATCCTTCAAGAGTTAGTTTATCATTATAAGAATGGGTATGGTCCATAAACAATGGATAAAGCACAAAGTTTTCAAATGTACTAGAATGTCGATCTCTAAGTCTTCAGTTCTTTTTGCTAAGATGAAAAAATCTTATATCCAGTAAAAACCTTAAAGCACAAAGTTTTTCAAAAACAAGTCAGAGATGACAACAAGTAATTGGTTGTCTTTAAATCTGTGTAAGAATGCAAAAGACTTTGTACTCCCAAAGCCTCCAGAAGCAGTAGCTAACCAGGTAAGAGATGAAGCACAACAATGTTATACCCAATGGGCACTTCAAGAAGCATTGGCAAAACTATGTAAGGACTTGGTTCAACCAGCCAGCTAGGAAAACAAGGAGACGTGCTGCTAGACAGCAGAAGGCTGTGAAGATCTTCCCTAGGCCAACTGCGGGATCACTTCGACCTATTGTTCATGGACAAACACTGAAATACAACATGAAAGTCCGGGCTGGGAGGGGATTTTCTCTTGAAGAACTGAAAGCAGCTGGTATTCCCAAGAAACTAGCACCAACCATTGGCATTGCTGTTGATCATCGCCGCAGGAACAGCTAAGCTTGTCATCTTCCCAAGGCATGCTAAGAAAGTCAAGGCTGGTGATTCTAGTGCAGAGGAACTTGCTACTGCCACCCAGGTCCAGGGTTCATACATGCCTATTACTAGGGAGCAGCCAGCTGTTGATTTTGTCAAGGTCACAGATGAGATGAAATCATTCAATGACTATGGCGAGTTGCATATCGAGCGTACAAATGCGCAACACATCGGAGCCAGGTTTAAGAGGGCAGCTGAAGTAGGAAAGGAAGATCATGCAAATCTTTTGATGGTGTTTATGTTATAGCATAAGTCCTATTGCTCTCTGGAAAAAAAATGCAAAAGAAACTTTAATAGAATTCCAAACTGGGAATTCACAACTTAAAAAACTAGCCACTGATATGATCACCTTAATAGTTAAACTAACAACTCACAGTACATTAACACACAAATATGCAAATAGGTCCACTTAATACATGAGTTAGTATATGGTCCATTATAACACATTGGCTTAGCTTAATAGATAAAATTATTTGAACAAGGACAGATCATTAGGGTAAGTTCTTTACAGGATCACTTACACTAACCATTTCCTTTATCACATAAGATTAGGAACTACTAGAAGTGAACAAAGGGACGTCAAGATAAACTTCTTCAAGGGAAAAACATTTGCTTCCAGTCGACATACATATATTTCCAAAATTATTTTTAACTTCTAATAAATGGCATATTCTTGTAATATGAAGGAAGTAGATATAAGATAACAAGTTCGGAACATATTAAGAAATAACATCAAAAATAGCTTCAAGGAAAACATGGGATGCTAAAAAATTGCAACGAGCAGAACGTTGAAATAGAATACATTTAAATTACATCGTTTTTACACCAATATTGTTTTTACATCGTTAAATTACATCGATTTTAGGAAAACATTGTTTCTCTCATTTCCAATAACATTACCTGGTACCAATATTGTTTTTACATCGTTTTCATGTTTTATCCTTATCTTTAACTACTTATTTCCAAAATTATTTTTCAAAGATTTTTTGAAATGCTATCATTATTACGGGTAAAATTTAAAATAGATACTTCATTTATTTTTATTTTTTAAAGGGGGTGTAAAGTCAAAAGTGAATAACTAAAAGTGAGGATGGAGTATAACCTGGTAGTTATGTTTTTGCCAGTCTAATTCTCCTTCTTTGTTGGTCTTTTCTGATGCCTATTTACTTAATTCTTTTTCTCTATTCAACTAATTACTCAACTCTATTTAATATTTCAGCCTATCATTTATTTTTCCTTACAAAAATCAAATGTTTCATAGGTTTTCTCGTCAGGAGGTAATTAACCACGCAAGTGAGCAACAAGTAAAGTTTACAACTTTCAATTCATTCAACTGCTGTGCTTCATAAAATCAATTTTTTTTTTTTCATTCCTCATACTCATCTGCCTATTCTGCCAAATAGGGATGGTGATTATTTCTCAGATTTTCTCACATATTTTCATTTCAAACAAGGATATATATGAATTTTATTTTATTATTAAATATATAAAAGGCCTGTTATTCAGGTGGCCTCCTCCTTTTAAGTTAGGAGAACCAAAATGCTTCCGCAAGGCCTGACGTTAATTCGCTACAAGATGACGATAACAACGACATATACAATAGTGTTAATCTCTCTGTAATAAATCTCCTCGGAATAAGTGGGGCCCGCTTCAAAGATCAGTCAATGCCGCCAGGAACTTGGGGCATACGCTTTGACTTTCACCGGCTGCTCCCTGTCCAGGTTAAAACCTCCGTCAAGGAGCTCTCCTTGCTTCATTTTCTTGTTTTTTTATGGTTATGTTCAACCCAATTTCTTATTCTATTCAAAAATAACACCCTCATGTTATGAGACAAAATCTAATCACTCGCTCAGTTAGTCAGTCCTAGACTCCTAGTTACAGCATTAATTTCTCGTAACCTAATTCACTTTCATTTGTCCACAATACTAAATTTATATTTTTACTTTTAATTTGTCCATTATACTAAATCAAGAGAAAGACAATATTTTCTTTTTTTCTATTTATCATTATCATTAATTACTCATTCCCCAAAACTTTTGAAAATGCTATCATTACTATGGGTAAAATCGTAAAATATATACTTCATCTTTATTTTTTGCTTAAAAGGAGTGCAAAATCAAAAGTGAACAACTAAAAGTAAACGGAGGGAGTACTTCTTAGTTCTTACTATCTCCTGTCCACTTTAGTTGATTTTTTTGGATATTTTTACACATATAAAAAATCCACTTTTTAGCATTATTAGTAATGAAATTAACCATATTAACCTTAATTTGTTCATTGGAAATACAATAAATACTTCTAGACTCTTTACTCCAAGGACAACTTTGGAAGAAAAAAAGTTAATTCGTTCTTGATATCTGAAAAAAACAAATATTGTGAACTACAGAAAAAGGCCAAAAATCAATTAAAGTGGATTGGAGGAAGTAAATTTTTTGACTTATCATAAGTATTTGGTAAAGTTTATGAAAAACTTTGACAAGACAATGACATAATTAATACCGGATTCTAATTACTGAATTAAATGTTAAGAAAAAATTTACATTTTGATAAAGCATAGATCAAATAAAATGATTTAAAAAAACGTTATCTAACTTGTTCTCTAAGATAATTTATAAAAAAGAAAAATGGGAGAGTCAAAATTGGAGAATAGTCACAAATGAAAATAGTAGAGTAGGAATTTTAGTCAAAAGTCTCGACAGGGAAAGTGACATTTCTCGTTTCCATGTGTATATACAAGAGTGGAGGAGGTCATCACAGTTTCGATAACTTAAACCCTTGGACGGATAATGTCTTCCCTCATAAGTAACCCCCACCACTCTTTCGAAAAAATGCAATATATATTACTATACTTTACAAAAGATACAAGAAACAGAGAGAAAATATACTAATCATTGAGACTAAACTAATCAGGAAACCGGTTACTGGCTAGGTTAACTTACCTTAGCCATATCAAGATTTACACGAGTGGTTGTGTTCATCATCAATAGCTGCTTCCTGGAACTTGCTATTTCGTTATTGAATATTCGAAGGAACGTACCCTTCTTTCCTCCTTTCTAGTTCTATTATACAGTATATATTAAAGAGACACTCCATTTCTTTTCTTCCAATTCAATACTTCCATCTTCTTCTACTTCATCATTTCTAAAAATTTTGGGATTGCTTTGTTCTTTCTTCAATCAAACATCTCAGAGATTCAGTAGCTTAAAGCTGTTTCCATGGAAGCCATATTCCAAGAACAGCTTTTTCCTGGTGCAGATGCTTTCATTTTTAGGCACCCTTCTTCTTCAATTCTAGTCGATCCAAGAGAAGATCATGTTGTACAAAATGGTACAATAGTTAATCGTCATAGTTTTGAAGATTACTCTCATGTCCATTCAAATGTTTCGGTTCCTATTGTCCGAGACGGAGATTCTTCTCCTAAAGAGGAAGGGGAAAGAGAAGGAGAAGGAGAAGGAGAAGGAGAAGGAGAAGGGGACCATTCTGATGCAATGTATAAATACATAAGTCAGATGCTAATGGAAGAGGAAGATTTGGAGTATAAGCCCTGTATGTTCCACGACTGTATGGCTCTACAAGCTGCTGAGAAATACTTCTCTGATGTCCTTCATGGATCCGAAAACATTACTAATTCCCCCCAATTTTCCGCCATTATTCCTCAGGATAAGGATTCCTCCTCTTGTCCTGATTTCAGCAACAGTTCATCTGATTCTATTGAGTCTCCTCAATCGGATCTTCGTTTGGAATCCATTATTTCAATGAAGAGTTTGTCTGTTGTCTCTAATGGACTAAATCATGGCTCTTTGTTGACTTCCTTTCATTCACCTAGTGGTTTGAGGGAAAAGAAAAATCATCATCGACAAGATGATGACCACCAGAGGAGTAACAAACAGTTGGCTACATTTGCTGCTGATGAATCTGAACCATTGGAAATGTATGACAATGTGTTGTTGCTTTGTCCAAATAATCCATGTGTTCCGCCTAATGAAGTTAAAAAACCAACCAAAGTTGGAAGGCCGAGATCAGGTGGTAAGAAGCATAGCAGCAGCAAGAAGGAAATAGTGGATTTGAGAGGTCTGTTGACTCAATGTGCACAGGCAATGTCAAGCTATGACACCCGAACAGCTAATGAGTTACTGATGCGGATAAGACAACACTCTTCGTCCCACGGGGATGGGACAGAGAGGTTGGCTCATTATCTTGCCAATGCCCTTGAAGCACGGCTGTCCAGCACAGGGACAGCGTCGTATACAGTGTTTGCATCCAGCAGGATATCAGCTGCTCACATTTTGAAAGCTTACAAGGCGTTTATCACAGCATGCCCATTCAAGTTGATGTCAAACATTTTCGCGAACAAGTATATCAAGAAGTTGATTACTGGAGGAGCACCAAGGACGATACACATAATTGATTTTGGGATTTTATACGGTTTCCAGTGGCCTTGTCTCATACAAAGTCTATCGGCCTTGAGCCGTGGGGAACCTATAAAGCTCCGCATTACTGGAGTCGAACTTCCCCAGCCTGGTTTCCGGCCAGCAGAGAGGGTTGAGGATACAGGGCGTCGCCTAAAGAAGTACTGTGACAGATTTAATGTTCCTTTCGAATTTAATGCCATAGCGAAGAAGTGGGAAAGCATCACGCTTGAAGAGCTAGCGATTAACAGGGATGAGGTGCTTGTGGTTAACAGTTTGTATAGACTAGGGAACATACCTGATGAGACAGTAGTACCAACCAGTCCAAGGGATGTTGTCTTGGATTTGATCAGGAGGATCCGTCCTGATATGTTCATCCACGGAGTGGTGAACGGGACTTACAACACTCCATTCTTTTTGACACGGTTTAGGGAGGCGCTTTTTCACTTCTCTACTCTGTTTGATATGTTTGAGGCTACCATGCCCCGTGAGGACGAGGACAGAAAGCTTTTCGAGGAAGAGGTTTTTGCAAGAGATGCTATGAATGTGATAGCTTGTGAAGGAACAGAGAGGGTCGAGAGACCTGAAACGTACAAGCAGTGGCAACTTAGATGCGCGAGAGCTGGATTTAAACAGCTGCCACTTGACCAGGAGATTGTCAACTTTGTCAGCAACAAAGTGAGGCGGGAGTACCACAAGGACTTCTCAGTGGATGAAGATAGCCAGTGGATGCTGCAAGGATGGAAAGGACGTGTAGTTTACGCTCTCTCTTGTTGGAAACCTGCTCAGCAGTCGTAAAATTTAGTAGTATTAGGTCATTTCTTTGCTCCTATATATTTCACCTAAGGTCGAGCTATAGTCAACTTTAGGTCATGGCTGCTTGATTGATTTTCTTTTTTTGTTGGTAGAAGCATTGTAAAATCTGTTAATTTTGTTTCAATGCCACTGGATTATTTAGAAGCTCTGCCATTACACACTCGATCATCGTGTTTGTAGTATCAGTCCCATTAATAACAATGCATGTTACAAAAAGTACACAGCTGAAGTTAAGAGGAAGGAACTCATACCAGTGACAAGAACTTGATCATGTTGATTCTACTCGCAGGAAGATACTTTCTTCAAAGCTGTTCCGACGATGGATAGCTTAATCCTAATCAGTCTAGGTCCAGTTTCACAACTAAATAGAGGGGAAAAAAGGAGAGGTGACACTAATTCTTTTTGCCTGGACCATTTAGAATCTGGTTTTTGTTAAGTACTTTGTTGTAATATATAGGCCTAGAAACATATAATCCAGAATAAGTTTTTTCTTCTAATACCTGAATTCTTCTGAGTGACAACATGATGGAAAGGACATACCAGGATGCCCAATTAAGGAGAAGAGAAGTTAATTTCTAATCGTTGCTAGTAATAAAATGTGCAGAAAAAGATAAACTTACCAGCAATATGGCCTTACTCCCATAAATTCCACTAAAATCCCCTGCTTCTTTAGGTCTAAAAGAATCTGCAGAAAATCCTTTCTCCAATTCTCCTGGATTGCAACCTCTATTCTGTTCGGAACATCTCCATAATTTCACTCGCGATAGCATCTAAAATATTGTCAACTGACTGCATAAGCCCCTTCATCTCTTTCTGTATTCCTTTTAAATCAAACCTGGCAAGCACAGCTGCACAGGGAAGAAATCAGTTATGTTATCCTTTCCTAGCGGTCGAGGGATTTTTATCCTTCTCCCTGTAGTAAGTGCTGCCAAAGATCAAGCCTAAAGGTTTTTGTTAGTATTTTCCTCTCAAACAGTTCACGTAAATCACGTTAGTAGGAGCCAATTGGGAGAAAATGCAATGTCTAGTCCTTCATTTGATGATATGATGAATCTTGAATGAGGAGGGAGAAATTCAAAAATAGCCAGATTTACAAGTGTTCATTCAAAAATAGCCACTGTTTCAAAAGTCATCGAAATTTAGCCACTTTTCGTATAAATATAAATCTGAACGAAAATACTATTCAAAATCCGGAAAATACTCCAGCATAATATACTGGAGTTCCAGTATACTTTGCTGGAACTCCAGTATATTATACTGGAGTCAGCAAAGTATATCGGTCCAGCATAATATGCTGGAAGTTCATACACAGGTGCACCGAACTCCGGTATATTATGCTGGACCGGTCTCTGTTACAACAAAATAGTTGCTATTTTTCAATGACTTGGCAAACGCTGGCTAGTTTTGAATGACCAGTCCGAAAACTGGCTAGCCCGTGCTATTTTAACGAAAGAGGAGGGTCACGGTTTGCAAAAATCATAGCTTGATCGCAAACTACCTCTTTGGCTAAGACACTACAGAGTTTGCTACCAAACTACAGCTTGTAGATTGGACCAACCTTATGAGACAATTCATAAAAATGGCAAGTATCCCAAAACTGGAAAGAGGCAGATGCACCATAATTCCATAAACATTGTCTTTAGCGTAAGCTTTGTCCTAGCCATTGAGTTTGAGTAGGGCACGTAATCCGTTGAACAATTTTGAGTTAATACAGTTCGTACTTGACCACGCCCAACTATGCCTTATAAAAAGGACTAAGCGGTCGTTTCAAATATAATCTGGTTTACAAGTCCGGAGTCGAATCCCACAGAGAACTAAGGCTTAGCTATAGTTGTTCAATATCGCTAAGAAACACAAGTCCAAACAATTTTCTAATTATAAAGATTTTAATATTTATTTTTATCTAATTAACTAACAAATCTAGAAAGCCGTAAAACTATCAATTAATAAGGATAAAGATTGGAGTCAAGATTAAGGAGGTCTAGAGTTATGATTTCCCCAATTGTCGGAATCCTTCCCGCTACGTTTTCTATAAATTCGCCTAAGTATTCTCTACCGATCATGAGCGCTCTGACTATCGTAACTCTCTCCCGAGTAATTACCACAATTTACTAGACGCACTCTCCCGAGTTACGCTAGCTGGCTTTGTTTATTACAGCTCACTTTAGATTGCACCCAAGGCTTCGTTATCCCTAATCCCGCCTTTAAACCCGCAGTTATAGATCCCTCTTATACTTTGGGAGTGATGTTGTTCAACAACTACCTAAATATGCACTCTCTCCCGAGTTATGCACACTAAATAGGCACAGCTAATTGAGGATCCTGTCAATTAACTACAACAAACACGTAGTTGAACAAATAGAGAAAATACTACGGCTCAATTATATAAAAATAACAAGAATTTATCCTACAAAAGGTTCCATCAAAACCCTAGATAACAAATTAGCTATTCATAATAGCATGTAAAACTACAATACTAAAAGTCATAACCAACAATGAAAAATAGGAAGAGGAAGGAAAAACTCGTAGAAGAATTCCCCGCCTTGCTCCTAGCGTGTTCTTGCCTCCAAGGGTGTTGTCTAACCCTAAAATAGTGTCTCCTGCCTCCTTAGGTCTAATTTGTGTCCAAAATATATCCCCTCCCTTTTCTTGGCCGGCTTCCTTGGTTTAATATAGGGTTTAGGGCTTAAAATCCCGTGTTTTGCACATAAGTCCCTGAAATTTCCGCCTCCTGCCGCGGTTTTGCCGCGGTCGCGGTGGAACCGCGGCCAAACATGCCCTCTAATTCTTCAGTTGTCCGCGACCATCTTCTACCGCGGTTCTGCCGCGATCGCGGTGGAACCGCGCTTTTTCACCCTGTTCCGTTTGGAATTTGGAAAAACGTAAAACATGAAAGTTGTAGCCCTTTGAGTTAGCTTTCCCACCATATATTGTGGAGCCCAAATGGAGTTCTGAGCAAAAAGTTATGTCTATTTTACTAGATAGTGCGCAATATACCTCCTCAAGTCTTCGTTCGTACTTAATTATCAAATTTGACCCCCGAACACGATCCCGGCTTAATTCCTTGAGCTTTTACTCAGACTTCAAAGCTTCAAATCACTTAAATTCATTCCATAACATCTATATAGCTCGGAATCACACCTACAAGGCATAAAACACACAATTAGTGCAAAACACTAGCGATTAAAGCGCAAACTCAATTAAAGTGCAGTAAATTCGAGTGTAATAAGCGACTAAAATATGCAATTATAACCTATCATCAGTACTTAAATGGGTTTTTGATTGATTCAGTTTGATTTCCGTGGTTTTTTTATTGGTACGTAGATAAAATATTTATCCAACTGAAATGATTCGGTTTGACTTTCTTTTGCATTCCACTTTTATATTAGGATCAGACGCATCCTACATTCACGACCAATATTTCAGGGGAATCACACATTGGTTTATTAATACAAAACACAAAAATATTTTAAATAGGCAATCACTCGCCTTTATAAACACCATTAGAAAAAATGACATTGTAATAGGGAATCCTTTATACCAACAGCACAAGTAAAAATAATGTTTTCAATGGGGAACATACTCCTTATAAACTAATTTTGATCATAATTATATGCCATTGTTTTGTGATTCCTTTTTTTCTTCCTATATATAAAAAGACCACTAATCAATTTGTCTAAAAGTCGAGGCAAATTGCACAAACGAACACATTCACTGCAGAATTTTTATTTTTTATAAATATAAAAAACTTGTTTTCTTTCCCGCAAGTTTAAATGAATGTTTCCATGTAACCTAAAACAGCTGGAAATTCATGACTAAATATTTTTAAAAGTTCATCATAGCAAAAAAAATCAAAATAAAAAGGAAAAGGGATTGTTGTGTGTAGGGTTAAATATTTGAAGATTTCGCTGGAATGGCGGGTATAGTATCCCACTGTCAGAACAACTCCTATATATAATGTACCTACGTACGTAAGTTCACCGCCGAAGTTAGCGAAAGTTTGACAGCGTCAGAGTATTTGTTGCAAGTATTAGTATGAAGCGACTACGCAAATTGTCTGATAAAGGTGTAGTCGAAGTTACTGAGGATATCATAATCAACATATTGTATTGTTTGCCTTCAAAATCTCTGGCAAGGTTTAAGTGTGTATCTAAGCATTGGCTAAAGTTCATTGCTGATTCATCTCTGTCTTATAGTTGCCGTTCTCGACGATGGAGGCCTCAACCAAATCTAATTGGTTTCTTTTATCAGGCTCGGGATACCTATGAACGTTTGAAAATTCGTTTCTTCTTCTCGTCCAAGGAATCATCACTAGTAATTGATGGTAGTTTGGATGAGTCAGTCAATTCTCTTGGCAGGAAGAGAGTGTATATTGTTTCATCATCCAATGGTTTTCTTCTTTGCATTGACCTTACAGGGGTTTATTATGTATATAATCCTGCTACAAGGCAGCGTTTGGCTCTCCCTAAACCTCGAGTGGAGACGAATGATCCAACTGTTGGATTTATTTGTAAGGTAGATGACTCTGATAAAGATGTCATCTCCTTTACTGTAGTTCGCCATTGGGATTATCTGTCCTCTGTAACGGTTGAATGTTTCTCTTCTGAGACTAATGTGTGGACTGTCAATAACCTAAATGTTGATGCAAGACCTCTTAGACGATGGAATTATAAGACTTTGAAATCCCCATCAGCTGGTGTCATCGATGGAGTATTCTGTTGGCTTTATTACTTTCAACAGATCACTGCTTATGGCAGTGTCCACAAGCGTTTCTGCGGTTTGGAATTGCCTCATGATCAACATATGGTGTTCACAGACCATTGCTTTCTTGGATTTTCAGGTGGGGCTTTCTATTATGCATTGAATGTTGGGACAACCATAACTGTATGGCGCCTTGAGAGCAATATTCGTAGTCGAGATGCAGTGTGGGTTAGGAAGTATGCTGCAAATTTTGCCAGTACAGTTCTACAATGTCTAGAGGCTTTTAGACTTATAGACTCTCCACCTATTGAGGTGCAGAACATGGACATTCATCCTGCTATTCCCCACATCTTTTATTTGAATGTAAGAGGTAAGGTTATTTCTTATGATTTGGAGACGAATATTGCAGAACTTGTGTATGATTTTGGAGAATATTGTTGGAGAACAGAATACTACAAATT